TATAGATCTATCTATAGATCTATCTATAGATCTATCTATAGATCTATAGATAGATAGATAGATAGATAGATAGATAGATAGATAGATAGATAGATAGATAGATAGATAGATAGATGATAGATAGAATGTTAGATTTTGACATCTTTTCTTCCTACATGGCAAGTTGCTGTGGATGTAGAAGTGTTTCTTTTTCATTCCCTCATTTACTTACACAGCTGTGAGTTGTATGTACAAATTGTACATTGTACATACTGATAACATTTGGCAAATTGTTTCAATAAGACAGTAAGTCCTTGTGGGGAGTGTGGTGTTGAACTCAGGTCTGTCATGTGAATGTCTGGGACTCTCCCATCAGACTGAAGATGTGTTTGCTGCACGCTGGAACTCATCGACTCCTACTTACCTCACCCCGTCAGTCTTCAGGCACATGTTACTCTTCTTTTCTGATAATGTAATAGTAATAGTAATGTGTTATGTGTTATCATCGTTGTATGTTCCCATACAATGGTGAAATTGGCTCTCTGCATTTAACCCATCGCACCTGGGATACACCCAGGTGGAGCAGTAGGCAGCTTTTGAAAGCACCTGTGGAGCAATTGGGGATGAGGTGTCCTGCTCAGAGACACCACGAGATGTGCAATGACTGGGAATCGAACCTGGGACTTTCGGGTCCTGGGTTGGCTGCCTTGCCTCTACCACATCTTGCCCCCATGTATACTTGTGTTGGTGGTTTTCAAGTTGAGTGTATTACAGCCACCACCTCGTTAGGTGGAATATTTACTGGAGCTGTGTTCACAGATGGAGAGAGTGTGAATGTCTTCAACACACACACACGCATGCACCAATACACACACACACACACAGTCCACTGCAGAAGCAGTGAACGTGAAGCTGGTTAGACAAATTCCCACTAAGCAGCTTTGCTGAAGAAATCTGCTCCTACAGTGAAGTTGGAGATAGTAAATCTGACAAAACCTACTGACAAGGTGGTGGAGCTGCTCGATGCCTGACAGAGTTAAAGGCATTTGGCTGGAGCACAGAGTGGAACGAGCCCAAAGCTGGGTGAACAGGAACACGTGTGCAGTCCTAGCTGGCACACATTATCTGCACATGATTGCAAACTGCAGGAATTCTTGGAAATGATGCGGCCTGTCAGATGATGCTGTTTTCTTTATCCCGTGAGCAGAGTTCACAGACTCATCATGGCTGTTCCTGCAGGGATCACTGCAAACAAGAGACATTTGGAGAAAATTGAAATGGAAAATGTAAATACTAACAAAATTAGTTGATTTACAAAAATGTATTTTAAATGGAACATAGTAAGCCTATTAAATGTCTAAACTAAGAAATTATACAACTTTTATGAAAGTAATGTGTTTTTGGCATTAATTTTGTGCCAGCGACATCTAAATAAAGTTGGGACAGGAGCAACAAAAGGCTGTAAAGTAAAGGCTGCAAGTAGGAAACAGCTGGATGAGCATGTTGCTATTAATTAGGTTAGTTGTCAACAGGCCAGTAAGAGGACTGAATATAAAACAAGCATTTTAAGGCTGAATCTTATAGAAGTAAAGCTGGGCAGAGGTTCACCAGTTTTCAAAGAACTCTGTCTAAAATAGTGGAACAATTTCAGATTGATGATCCAAAAAAATAAGAAGACTTTAGATATCCCAGTTCATAATATTAACTAAATATTTTAAGAATCTGGAGAAATTTCTGAGTTCAAAGGAAACGACTGAAAGTCATTGTTGGATTATTGAGATCTTGGAGATCTGGACTGCTTCAAAATTAGTCAGATTCTCTTCTGGGCGCAGGAACATGTCCACAAACCACTATCTGCTAACACAGTTCACATGCCATCCACAGAAACTGGTTAAAGCTCTGTCATGCAAAGAAGAAGCCATATGTGAACTCTGCTAAAACTTTTCAAGAAATGGACTGAGGTAGAGCAGAAAATTCATCTGTTGTCAGATGAATTGAAATTTGATTTTTTTATCACCCATTCTGCATTCTTTGTACTAAAAAGGAGAGAAACCATTCAGTCTGTTATCAGCACTCAGTTGAAAACCTGCTTCTCTGATGGTACTGGGGTGCATTACTGTCTCTGGTATGAGCAGCTTACACATGTACCATGTATATGCAGACCCTTTCCAAAAAATTAGAATATCATGGAAAAGTTGTTTAACTTCCATAATTCCATTCAAAAAGTTAATCTTTAATAGATGATAGGTTCAGGGCCCACAATTTAAACAATTTAAAGTATTTATTTGTTTATTTTTCCATAAAGGCCAGATGTGGCTGAGTGGTTAGTCATCCTCCAATGCAAGAGTTGGGGGTTCGAATCCACCAGCAGTCACATGAGGAGGAATATGAACAGTGAATGTGTGCAGTTTTCAAGTTGAGTGTTTTTGGACTGGTGAACAGGAAGTGAGAGTGAACCTTCAGGTTTTTGGTGCAAGATATTCAAGTGGGTAGGAGTGACACTGTGTAGAAGAAGAGAGGTAGTTTTTGTTGCTTCACCAAAGCAGAGCAAACTGAGATCCTGGGGAGTGGAAGGAGCAATTTTATCCACCACCAGGAGCAGTGGTGGAGCCAGGGGGTGGCCAATAGTGGCCCTGGCCCCTTAGCTTAATGTTTGGCCATGCGGCAGCAATTTTTAATTTTGATGTGGAAAATCAGTTTTTTGAAATAAAATCTTTCTTATGCCTAGATATAGCCACACACCAAAATGGGAGTCTGTACCTCACTTGTTTTTCAAGTTATCATGCTCACAACATGCAAAAACAGACAAATGATATTTCCAATTCTCCTTCTTCACTCCATGACGGAGGACAATAATCATTTAATTCTAAAAACTTAAACCTTGCTTGGTCTGAAATGCTCTTAAAAGTTTTAAATCATATTTGCCTGATAGATTCCAGTTTGTAAATGTAAATAATAAATCTTTTTCATACACCAAAGTTAGTCATGGAGTTCCTCGGGGCTCAGTGGCACAATGGTAGAGCTGCTGCCTCTCAGGGAGAAGGTTTCCAGTTCAAATCCCAGTCCAGGGGCCTTTCTGCATGGAGTTTGCATGTTCTCTCCGTGCATGTGTGGGTTTTCTCCGGGTACTCCAGTTTCGTCCCACAGACCAAAAACATGCATGTTAAGCTGATTGGTAACTCTGAATTGTCTCTGTGTCTCCCTGTGATGGACTTGTGACCTGTCCAGGGTGTACCCCGCCCCTCACAAAGTGATTGCTGGACATGGGCACCAGCGACCCCCGTGACCCCAAATGGAAGACCCGGGTAAAAGAGAATGGATGGATGAACTGAATCGAATTACCAGTAAGTACTCAGAGGAGCTTGGAGCCCTGTTGTAACTGATGTTTCTCTTCCATCACATCTGGTAGTTAACATTTTTAAGACACAACTCAACAAAAAAACTACTTAAATGACTTTGAACTGTGGTATTAGATGTCTGAATGTGGTGTTGTTACTACAGAAATGTATGTGTGTATGTGTTCATACAGGATGTGTAACTGACACCCTGTCTCCTTATATTTCAGGAAGTTCATTATTCGTACTACCAAACATGAACAGAGGCATCATCGCTGAACACATGCAGTCACTTCACCTGAAACAGATTCAAAACGGTGTAGAAACCACAGATATGAACAGGCCGTGTAACAAGCAACAGGTTTCTTTCAGCATGTGTGAAAAGCTCCTTCAGAACATGTGGCAAAGAACAACAGGTCTGTAGTTGAAATCCTGAGGGACATTCTGTGGTCCCTCACCCTGTCT